CACTGCGAAATAGGAAGCGGGTTAGTATAGTTCTTCTAGCCAATGGTCGAGATGGCCCAAGTGGTTAGGGCGCGAATTTACTGACTGGAAGGTCCGTGGTTCGAACCCAATCTCTGGCTCTCGACTTCTAGGCTTGGGCAACCTGGCAGTATCCCAGCCCTCATGCTTCCTTTAGGTGGCATGGCACCGAAAGGGTGCTACAGCTGAACGATTTTTTCATCAATGTCACGAACTACGAGAGTGAAGCATCGGTGCTAGTAATATACCTACTTAGGTCCCTGGACGATCACGCCATTGTGAATTAAACATTTGGATTCTCCTCCAAGGGTAGGATTACGATAATGCAGTCCACTCCGTGCGAGACACTGTTCAACTAGCGTAAGGACTACAGAGCCATTGAAGCCACAACCTTTCATCAGCCGATTTTCGGCGACCACTCACTACCCACTGAATGGAGTTGGTATGCAGAGGATAGTAGCGTCACCTGGACGCTGATCACCAAACCGATAGCAGTTTTTCTAACTCCCGAGTAAGACGCCAGACTTCTTATAGTACTAGCCCTTTGTTTAGTCAGGCGACCAGGTCACTCAACGAAATCCATGGTCTACACATCAGTTATGTCTAAATAAGTTCATCCACCGCTGATACCTTCCATCGAGAATCTAACCTACTTCCAAACTATCCAGAAGAACTGCCGCCCCGTCTTGCCCGAAATATCTACCATCCCTCGACTCGTCTGACACTGATCTCAGTCCTAAAAATAAAAATTAAGAGAAATAATCGCTCAGCTGTGTGCCTACCTACAACTCACGAGGACGGAGACACTGCCAGGTTGCCCTAGCCTAGACAGGAACAGTCGAAATACCGGGTCCGGGTTCGAACCACGGACCTACCGGCCAGTAGTCTAGCGCCCTAACTAGTGAGCTATCCTCAAGTAAAAAGGGTTACAACGCCTATGCCTGACTGCCAAGTAGTGACCGTGTGCGCAAGCTGAGCTGCTCAATGGTACCATAACAATAGACAAGCGTGGTTGCGACAGAGGGGCTAAAATTCGGATGCTCGGACACAGGATTAATAATACAGACAAAAGCACAGTGATTCCCCGGAAAAGGAAAATGCATAAACACAATTCGTCGAGTGAATGATGAACGGTCAATAAGCAAGAAGGAAAAGGGTCAGTTCGGTGAACACCTGCAGCAGCAGCAGTAGAATGAAACGAAAATAATAGTAATAATAATAATAATAAATCGAACAAAACCAAATGAGGAGTCAGAGAAGAGTGCTGGTCGTTTTCTGTGATTTACATGAACACTGAGAAACGCAAACAAAAATATATAAAAGCAGCACCCTCGGAAAACAAGTGACGATCGTGGGGGGGGGGGTTAGATACCATAGTTACCGGCACGGTTGCGGTTGTCAGTGACAAGTGATAAGCGAATGACGCAAAGGCACAAAAGAACAGAAAAATCCAATGTTGAGTAAAAAGATGTGACACACGGACACACACACATGAGATTAGCACCAATGATGTGTGAAAGTAACTCTTGTGAAACATCATGATTGAGTGGACAGGGGAGAGTCGGTGAACGAAGGGGAAACAAACAGGGATCATAATAGTTTGCTTGACAATCCTTTCGCGTCGTCTTACGCCAAGGTGAACAAACTATCACGAAGGGAAGGGGGTAAGCACTTTTGTGACGGAAGGGCATTATGACCACGTCAGAATTAATAAAGGTGTGTGCGTGCGTGAGAGTTAATCATCAACCAAATAACCAAGAGACAAAAATAAAACGGAAACAGTTGCGGAGCGAACGGGGTAACTGACCGAACAAATCGAAGTGAATTCGAAAACCCTAGGCTTGTGGAATCTTAGCAGTGCTGTTGAAGTTTTGTGCCGCCGACCGCGGTTCTTCAAATAGCCTCTGTGACGGGGGAGGGTGGGAAAAACGGGCAATTCGATAAAACGACAGAATTCGTATTGTAAACGTGTGATTTGAGAGACATTCACAACAGGAATTACGAAGGACATGTAGAAATGAGAAGCCACAGCAAAAACAATAAGTCTGTATGATCTGCTAAACTGGAAGAACGCGGGGAGTGGCACTAGCTTATATCGTGACCCGACAGAAATAATGGACGTTCGATGCGGTGGAATATTGGTAATTCGGGTGCCTCGGCGAGCTTGTCTATCGGCCTGCAAACATTTCACTGCCATTTAAGAAGACAACACGGGTGCTCACACCGAAAAGAGCACAGAATGGTGTTGAACCGTTCGCGCATGAGTTGCCAAGCGCGTCGGATAAGTCAACAGGTAACTGTGGTCACCTGACTGGTTCATCACCAGCGGAACCAATCAGCGGCCGACCCGTGTCAAAGTCAGCAAGAGTTATTAAACGTCATGCAATCAAAGTGACCGGTTTGATGGAACAAAAAGTAGACAACTTTTAGAAGAGGATCACCTTACATGAACACAAGTGGAAAAGAAAATCATTGTTGAGGGTCGTTTTAAGTACTCACGTTGAGTCGAAATGTAGATGGCAAGTGAGGCAACATTGGGCGCGACTGTTCACTTACATCGAGTTACAGTGCCGCTTATTAGTAAGATACGGTCACTGATTGAAAAATGAGACGGGCCCAAGTATTTCAAAACTATTATTCGGGAATGACAGCGTCAGCAAATCCGCAACGAAAACAGGTGGTATGAGGTTAAGTCATTCGAACCTCAAATGGCACCTGAAACTCGTCATGTTTTAGCAGTGCTGTATGAGGTAGCCGAACAAAAATAAAATTAGACCGCCTTACGGAATCCCGATAGCCTAGAAACAGTACTTTTCAACACATCACTCAGTCGATCTACAGAGCTGTTTGATACGCTTGTCCCAACATTCACTACAAGCCTAATTGACAGACTTAGCTAGAACGGAACTGCAGCCGGCCAGTTGCGCAATGGGAGAGGACATCCGGGCTGGGCGACTTGTACACAGAGCTGAAAGCTAAGGACCGACATTGCAGAAGTAACCTGGCACCACTGAAGCAGTATACGAGCTCAATATTTGTTATTCACTCAAGTGTACAGATCCAGCGGCCAAATCACTGATGTGCGAGTCCAGCAGACACTGGTGTTATGGCTGCACATCCTGAAGGGAGATTACAGAGGTTGGCTGAAACATTTGATTCTTCTTCTAAACAAGTCTTTTATTACTTTGAAAGGGGACCAGCATAGAACATCATGGGCCCAACTGGATGTCCGTGATGTAGACTGTCATCAAGACTCCTACTGTCTTGACAGTACACTGCCCATACGGTTAAAAGAACAACATCAGGTATGTTAATGGGAGGCTCGCAGGAATGGTGATACAGTACCGTAATGGGCAGAGAAAAGAACAGACGGTGTGGTGATCATTGTTACTTAAGCCGACAGATAACTAGAGTTGTGTAACCATAAATCGATCAACAAGGATTCGCCTCGCCCCAGGGAAATCTCCACTTATTGATGCGAAATCATCAGTTTTCACTACACAGCAAGCAACACCGTTTGCGCATTTTGCATGCTTCATTGGATGTTCAAATATGTTGGCACATGAAAAGTCCACTGTATCATGGACTCTGTGGCGCTTGGGGTCAGTCGACTTTTGTTTGCAGTACTGACTAAAACGGAGCTTTGATGATAGGATAATTGAAACCCGAGTCATTGAATGAAAGGCTCGGCTGATTGGCTGGAGGACGGTTTCTCAAATCTGTACCCCGATAGTGCTATCAGCATGTAGAGCACTGGGCTCCCTTTAGGTTCGGCGTGGCCGGATAACCCTACAGCTGGCAACAGTCTTCCGCGTAACTGATGGTCAATCACCTTATTTCTTGAAGCCTATATCGGGAGCAAGGGGCTTGCACAGCAACACATTCAGATCAGCTCAATCTGACCACGGTTTGCCATTGGCTCACAGCATTAGCACTTTCGACCGTTGAATCCACTTGGGGTGACTGCCGCTCCACACGTAATTCCCCGCATATTCCGATCCACTGGGAAAAAACAGAGAGCGGCCGAAGTTTTTTTAAGTTCAGATTACGGGACTGGCTACTATTTGAGATGCGCAATTACTGTAGGTCACAAACGAGATTCAGCTGGGTTCCAGGTGAGTTTCTCGCAAAACCAAATTAGTTTGCAAATGAGTGTACTTCGCCAATTTCGTGCAATTTGGTTTCAAGTGGAACATAAGGTTGACGGAAACTAGGGGACTGTGCCCACCTGATGAGCTTCTAAAGGTCGAAACGGGACGTGGGCTGTCGACGATTTTTCAGTAACCTTATGAGTAGTGTATTGAGATTATACTGTAGGTTTAGTTTCTGAATTTTCCTATCCCAGACTGCTACATTTCTGCTTTCAATACACACAAGTTGTGGAATGGTCATCTGCCGCAAGCGAACCCCGTGACAAGGGAATCATCCCGTCATCCTCTAAATTCAGGTTCGAATTCGAGCCGCTGGGATGCCCTGGTTTTCGTACACTCCGCACTGTGACGAGACATTAACCGCTACAAAATATGGTTCTTCGATTCTCATGGCTTTCTCATTGCCATTCGGGTTGTTCAGATGAGCGTTAGGGATGAAGGCGCACCGACATGATTGTAGGAAGCTAACTCTTTTCCTTGGTATGGTGGGACGCTGGCTGACTTGCGTACCGCTTCTGAACCTGATACTTGGTGAAAAACTCGATGTCGACCTTGCTGGGCGCTTCGAAGCGGCATTTTTTTATCCGAACTGGCCCAAAACGCGTTGACTACCAAGGACCATTAAGTTGCTCTGGACCGAATTCGCTCACGAACGAGATGTATACGCCACATTCGAACGAGACGCTCACGCCGTTATTTAACAAGAATGGAGACAAAGTGGGGAACTATAACAAACCCAACGATGAGGAAAATAAGTATAACCGGAAGCCAACATTTAAAGAGCTTTGTTTGATGAAAAGAAGCGATTCGAACTACGTTCAGGGTGGGAGGTTAGGTGAGAAACGTACCCGTCATGCTGAGGGCAGGTGGCTCATCTGTGGAAAACTTGATGACGTCATCCCTGATCAGTTTGCCATCGACTCGTTCACTCTCATGCAGGGTAGTAACCATCTGACCACCCTCGACGATAGTTCGTTTCTCTGAAGACGTTTCGATAGTCTTGATGGTAACTGTTCCTTCGCTGACAGAGAATAAAAAAGGCATTTTGTGATAGTCAAATCTACAAACCCGGACCTATGATTAACTGTCTTTTGTGGCCAGTTAACCACGAGATGGAAAAAGCGCTTCAACACACAATGAAGGAAACGGGATTCCGCGCACACCAAGTTAGGTGAACAGGAACGAGTGCAACAAGATTCCGTCAGTTGTTTGAATCCAGACAGCGGGGAGGGGGAACAATTCAAGAAAATGACTCCAGAACCAAAATGTTTTGTGGGTGAAAAGTAGTAGAAGGCGCTGAGAGATCCTATGGGATAACAGGAAAAAGGCGGGTAAGTAAACGCCTTTTTTCGAGGAAGTCATTATGGAACTCCACAATACGGACTGAATAGACAAAATCAATACACAAAACACAACTAAGCGGATTGGCGAAGCTCCAAAGCACTGGTGTTTCATCACTGATGCCGGCAATCACTCGATAGGCTAACTCTAGGATTTACGCTGAGGTCAACGTCACACAAATGTCACACTTTTCTTTTGAATATAAAAAAAACTGGAAAGCATCAACCGCTCAGACGAATAAATGTCACCAAAACCGATGCTAAGCTGGGGAGCATTTGCTTGTGGCAACAAATCGAAATACCCACGTATTTGTGGAACATCATTTTGAAGCATTTATCGACTTTGTGAGGTAGTGCATAATGGTGATATTGTCCCGATGAAAAGTGAAACACCTAACCATCAAGGAACCTAGTGCAAAAGAGAGGCCTAACCGCTGCAACACTTGTCGTCTAGACATGCTGGAGTAGCCCGTCATTTGAGCACATGGGCGTACATCCTAACACGGTCAAATAAAAAATATTGTGCCATTACAATAGGAAGGTAAAGAGTTTTTTCGCTTGGTGATCATCTCGTTCGTGCAACTTATGGTTAATATCGGAGTCATTTCCGGACAACAAGGATAGAAGCAGGCAATTCTAGTCACTAGGGGCCAGGAGAGGAGGGCATGAATGAGCTGTTGACAGCTTCACTACATCCGACAATAACTTACCCATTTAGATACTCCTTGATGGAGTCCATAGTTACATCACCGGCATGAGGAGCTCCAGTAGGCAGCGCGGAGCCAATTTTCTCTTCCAGCGGAGCTGCAGAGTCCATTGTCTCGGTTGCTTGCACCTCAGAGGTACCGTTTACAGCCTCTCCGTTTACGACAGCCTCCGCTACCTGAAATAAGATAGCGATTCACCACTAAGGGTAGCGAAACAAAACCGTATTAAGAAGGGCGAAATAATGCAAATTCAAGGCAACTTACAACTTCTTCAGTAGCAACGGCTTCGGGTTCTTTGCTAACTTCAGATTCGACAGGAGCTGGTTCGCGGGGCCTAGCCCAGTCCGGTAGGGTGACAGTAGCCTGAAGTGGACTCGGGGCACCCGGGGTAAGTAGGGCAGGCGAAGACAATCGAGGGACGGAAGAGAGTTCATTTAGGATAAGCTGACAACCGGCATGCCAAAACACGAGATTGGTGGACGACAACGAAGACACACAAGGAACTGGATGAACGGTGGGATCGATGAAGGAACGAGCTGAAACCCAGAAACGGATGACTCACAAGTTAGACAACCTTTGAGGGAAACCCGGGAGACAGGTTTGCTAGAATAAACCACCTCAACTTACATTTGAACAACTTCCTTAAATGTGGGATGGATAAAATGACGGCCTGCCCGTCATAACGAGTTACCACGACGTCCCATTCTGTTTTGGAATGCTCTCCTGTACCGCGAACAAACGGTTGCACTCCAAAAGCGGTGAGAGATTTGCGATGAGGTTGTGGCACCATAGTGACTGGTTTCGTTTCAGGCTTTTACGGCACACAAAAAACGGGAACAGGATGCAGGAGTAAGAATATGAAAACAAAGGCTGCAGCCAACACGAAAGTGGCACTGATAAAAAAACATCAAAAGCAGATCAAATCATTCCGGTGGGACATCCTTTTGATGCACACCTACCAGGCGTAGGAACTGAGATACTGGTTCGGGAACACATACCACATAATGACCGAATTAACAATGCATAACGCTAAGTAACGATGGTTCAGAGCTGCAGCACCCCTTAGATGCATAGCTGCCTTGCCACCCGAAGGAGGCACGACGACCGAGATACTGCCAGATTGCCCAAGCCTAGACAAGAGCAGTCAAGATACGGGAATCGGGTTCGAACCACGGATCTTCCATTCACTATGTTCGTGCCCTAACCACTGAGCCATCTCGAGCTCGACAAGTGCATGCACACTCAGAATCGGAACAAATCGCCTAGCAGTTTTCCTGTCATGCGGGTCTAACGTGACTCATTTCCAATAATTGACGTCCAAAACTGTGAGGTTACTCAAAGTGAACAATAGTGTGTGGATACTCTAACCACGGATCTGTATAGAAAGTTGGAAACCATTGTGTGTCGCTTATGAGTGCCGACTGTGAAACAACGCGCTAATCGCCTAAGTGGGTCATCCAGGATTTCCACGATTAGCCTAATTATCAGTTTCTACGGGACATAAAAGCGCAGTAAAATTGCTACATCTGTCTTAATCAGGCATGGCACGTGACGCATAACGAGACCTACCTCAGTCGCAGGTTCCGGATGTTCAGCAGTCTCTGCGTTATCTCCTGATTTGGGCGCACTGGCAGCCACCTCACCGGTAACGGTAGTATTTGAGCTGGGTGTAGCTGTTGCCGCTGATGAATGCCCAGGTAGGCGGATTCGATCAACAAACTTGTGTTTATGCAACGCACGAAGTGAAGGCAACTGGAAAAGTTTGACCTGCTCTTCGGAACACAACAGTAACTGGTGAGACTCGATGGGAACTGCTGCGATCGGTGCCGGAGTAACGACAGGAGCTGTGGCACTTTCGCTCTCTTCTTTTGATCCCTCTTCCTTGGGTGCCTCTTTTGTTGGTTCAGCCTCTGGTTGGTCCGGTTTGGGTTGCAATTCGCACCCGGTGCTTTGGAAGTATGAAAGGAATAAAAAGAACGCAGATTCGGGTCATCCAGGAAAAACCTAAGAAGTATGAACAATTCGAACGGTTTCCTTCAGTCGACTTACCGAAATCTGGAAGTGGACAATACCGGTGTTCGAGAGTTAGTGTCCAAAACACATAAACCAATAACCGGGGCACGATGCTGCAACTGCAACTCTTTGTGAAGCTGAACAGTGACAGGACCACTGGTGTCTTCCCAGCTGAGGCTATGCGCTATCACGCGACCATTTGTAGTGCCGACCCAAATGGAAGGGGTGCGCGGTGAGGGAACGGCGGAATGTTGAGAGGTAGCGGGGACCGCCGACACGACGTAAGTATCGGCAAACAACAAGAAGCGAACGGTGGATGGACCGAACTCATCAGCACTCAGGGATGTGGGTTCTGAAGGTGTTTCAGCTACCTGCTCAGCTTGTGATGTGCCGGGCTCTACTGGTGCCGATTCCTCCGTCGGCTCAGGTTTGGGGACATCTTGTGCTGGCGCAGGCTCCGGACTAGTGGTTTCCCCTGGCTTTAAGGTGGCCTCGGCAGCTGGACGAGGTGAAATAGAAAAAGCGCCTTAGCTATGGAACAGATAATAAACAGCAAAAAGGTGAACACGGTAAAACACTCACCAGCATCCTTGGGTTGTTCTCCTTCAACCGGCTGTTCGGTTGGCTGGGTAGAAGGTGCCACTTCTTGAGTCTCTTCAGGTGCCTTTGTTGTCGAAGTGCGCAATTGCTTTAACCGTCGGAACGATTGTCGCACACTTGCTGTTATCTGTTTGCCGCGATTAACGATGGCCGTTTGCATGGCCGAGACTGAAAGTAGCGAAACACAATCGGGTAAATTTGGATATCACGACTGCTGGATCACGAGGTTGCAGTCTACTTAGGGATGCGAGCTAACTCAACAACGAAAACAGGCAATTGGAACTTAATGGCTAATGTGAAAACAAGATGTTGGTGTTTTCTGGAACCAGAGGCGATTCGGCTATTGGATGACTGAACTATAGGCTTCGTGCAATTTATGAAGAAACCGTGCACTTACGCTCTGATTGCACTCACCATATGCCATACGATAAAAGTTCTCGAAAAACAGAGAATCAAGGTTGCTCGAGACAACACAAAATACCGGATAATCGGCTGTCTCAACAATCGCAATTTGCAATGACTTTCTACTCACCCTGATTGTGACGAGAGAATCTGTGTGTACCACCAGTGGTTATTGGAGATTTTGCGAAAAGGAAATCCGTGTAGATGGCACCCTTGGCAAGTAGATCGACCACTGCAAAGCCATGCGGCGAGCCCAAGGCAAGCAAATGCCAGCTAGGTTCTAGGGCTACTGCTGTGATAGGGGCCGGTGGATCCAGCTGGATCAAGGCACATGGATATAGCGCAGTGCCCGCGGAGTCGCATACCTGAGTGACACCTTCGAATGGCTAGATGAAAAGCAAACAGTGAGTATTACTCGTAAATCACAGGGGTCCAGCCGACGGCTTATGGGGGATAACATGGGGAGACGCGGACGATTGGTAACAATGAGTGGCTGTAAGACTTAGATCGACTAGATAAGGTAACCACCTCCCACCCCATAAGAAAGTCACCTGTAGGAAAAACTAGTTTTTCGAACCCAAGCAGCTTCCCAAAAGACAGTCGTTGAAAAACAGTGCTGGTTAAAACTACAAACGTCATTCGAGTGCAGACGCTGACCTATTAAGACAGGACAATCTTGGTGCACCAGGGTGGAAACAAAAGAACAGAACAGTGGACTAATGATTAAAAAAGAGGAGATAGGTACAACGCCACTACGGATTGCGTGACATCACCATGTAAGTGAAGACCTTCAAAGGCGGATATGGTGGACTTTTGCTACCCCAATCCAGCAAACAGGCACCGGTGCAACCAAGACCGCTTTTTTCTATGCTCCATCCCTAGGTTATGCGTTATCGACCTTGTGTTATCTTACGGTCAGAACCTGGCTTAGCAAACATAACGCGCAGAGGAAACCGATCACTTGGCCGAGTCGGCGTAGTTGGCACAGCCGAATCAACTCATCAGCCATGTTGATTCGATGTTTCCCCGATATTCAAAAAGAGCTCATCTTGTTTTACCTTCAACGCAAAGCACCCAAGCTTCACAACGCTCAAGGAACACCGAACGCAATGCCGTGTTGTGGATCTTGTCTTCAACCGACAGGCGATTCCATATGTGCCTTGGTTGAAGGAAAGCAGAACGGGCTGTAGCTAATACTACTATGGAAGCGTCTGGATTACCTGATAGCCAGAGAATGAAGCATGAATATGCTGAGCTGTTTTGGGTCGTATATGCTTGTAGTGGCATGGGTAATAGTTAGGGGAGAGCACCTGTTGTTCCAAAGCTAGGTGGACAGACGCTACTTTCCAGTAGCGCGGGCCGAAGAAACTGGATCGAAGTGGTCAGAAAGTAAGACCAGACCCGGTTGCATAAGTCATGCCGTGTTGATGCTACATTTAAAACAGGCAGCTGTGCCTATAACGCATACCATTGTGGTCAGTTTTATTTTTTGTCCACTGGCAGCGCTGAGACCACGTGGAAAATAATCGAGCTTCCACTGAGTATACCGTGTATTGTGAAAGTAAAATGTGACTGGACGAACGGGAGGGAGTCAGTTATTACTATTATTCGACATGTGGGTATGCAACAAGCGAGTTGCGGATCGAAAGCTGAAAAATTTGGGGATATCTTAAAAAATAACTGCTGGCCAAAATGACGTGAAGATAAACTACTTACCTTCATAGCTGCAAGGCCGTTCCAAATGTACTTTGGATTGGCTGTATCCTGGTCGATCAAATTGACATGGATTCTAGAAACATCGGGTTCGAAATTCGGCGTGGCCTTGCTCTCCTCGTTTGCGGTCCATACGCTGACCTGTCCACCACAACCACCAACGACTAGGGTGATCGAATTAGCTGTGGCGGATGCTGTCAGCTGAGTCACAGCAAGTCGAGGATCAGGATGTTCTACACACAGTGGATGAGCTAATGCACAATCGCCGACGCGCCGGAACGGCGGCCAAGTTTCAACCTCGATGGTACTCTGACACTTCTGTCGGGGGGTGAGAAAAGAAAGGAAAATGTCGAGTAGTTTAGGAATAATGATGAGGACAGAAAACTTTGCAATATCTGGTCACATGAGAGCTCAGAAACATTTTGTGCTTCACAGGTGATGCGAGAAAAAACGAAGCACAAAGAACGTACTAAGCCATTTGGGGAGTCGGATAGGTTGAAGAGCGAATCGGTGTGGAAGGTTCCCAATCGGTGTACACTATCTCCGCGACCGACAGCAAGCAGTGTGATCCACCCGTTGGCGTGCCCCAACACAACGACATCGTTGCCGTCATTGTGAGCCAAATCAATACTCTCGTTGCAGTTCTCTCCACCCCAGATGGGCCATTGCGAATGTGTGACGTCGGTCTGGGCACACTTGACAGCAGTACGAAGACGACTAAGCAGGGCAGACGATACCTGTGGAAAAAGAACGTTAGAACTTAGAGTACTTTTCTAGCTGAAAACACAACTCATCAAACGAATTTCAGAAAACGGTTAGCTGACCGTTGTTGCATGGGCGGATTGCCAACCCCCTCTTATTTAGCGAATGTTTACCAGGCAGGCTTCTAGTTTAAGTAGGTTGAATCACAGTTGGAAGTTTCATTCCCGATTCCACTGTGGTTTTCTCTACCAACCGAAATCATCCTCGAACCTTATACTGGGCATAGTCTAGTCTGGGGGATAACAACACTACAGATCAGCGAATATACACTCGTTTGCAAACCAATTTGGTTCTTTCGAGAGACTCACCTGGAACCCAGCTGAATCTCTCGTTTATGATGTTCTCAGGCAACTGATGAGCCCCAAGAAGGGCGAAACCAGTCGTGGGCTGTCGATGGACTTTCAGCAACCTTATGAGTAGTACATTACAAAGATAGCACTACAGATCAATTTTAGGCGTTATGAAAACATAAGGTTTGGAGAAGTAAAACGGTATATGAGGGACAAATTGACTATAGAAATGACAGAATTACAGAATGAGAATCCTGCTCATGAGCTTATATTCACAATGTCTACTTATCCAAGCATTTATGCATGAAAGGCCTAAAAGCACACATTCTTGCAACAGCGTTATCCCTACCTTCCCCCATCAGAAAGGCAGAATTTGTCTGTGGGGAAAATTGGGTGGAGGACTACTTTCAACGAGTGGTTATCTCTTGTCTGCAATTGATGAATGAAATTGCATCAGCCAAAATCAACACACATCTAATACAAGGTCGCTGACAAGCCAAACTGAGCTGAACACGAGAAAGTTTGTCGTATTCAGGCTGAAGAGGGCAGTCGTTTCTGAACATGGTGAGGCGCTTCGAAACAGGGCTCCAGGCCCATCAGCACTAACGAAATTGGTTGAGCACGATCACAACCACCTGAAAGTGCCTGTTGCTCCCATATTGGATACATAAGGATAGTAATTCGTTGTACTTGCTGTCGACCCGATCCGGCGCTGTTGACTGCCATGTTGGGGACAGGAACACGAGGCGGTTTGTGAGGTAACGCATATCCTGCCAAACTCCGCTGCTTGCGGCCAGGTTTTCGAGGCAGAGAATGTAGCTGAGAACTTTAAACATCTCGTCTCGGCTTGGACGACCCGAGAAGTACCTCATCCCATGAACAGTTACAAATAACCTCATGCAAAATCACGCACTGCGTGATGTCACCAGCCAAGCGCCTTACTTTCTGAACTCAGTAGGCCAGATAAGTGAAAACAGACTACTGTTGACACCATTCTTTCTTCTCCCCCTTTCTGTCCCAATAATGATAGTCTCCTTGCAGACCCATCCGTTAGGACTGACGAGCCCAATAGCGCTTCATGGGTACTAGCCACGTCATCTGCGCGTCAGGCGGCGCCGACAGCATCAGGTACCGTGAAATCAATCTTTAGACCCCAGTAACTAAACTATCTGACTACTTCTAATGCTCACATTCCGAGGCAACAAACGGCTCTTTCCGCATTCCAGAAACCCAAGCTGAATTGAGGACGTACCCGCACCATCTCTCCAAAATCGCTCCCGACTGCGAACATCTAGCGATCGAAACGACACTGCAGCAAACTATATCGTTTCGAGTCACCATGTGGAAGTACCCTTATTTGACTGGATATTCGTTGATAGTCAACTGTGTGGTTATTCTGGGAATATAAGCGGGCAGTTGATCGCCATTTGTTCGTAGCGTCAGATTACGCCCCAAACGACATCATCAAAGGCAACTTTTATGAGGCCGTGAGTGCTCTGTTAGGGCGGACTAAGAGCTGATATCACCGTTGTTGCCGCAGAGTCAGATGTATACGATTCAGCCCACCTGAGACTGGAACGGGTGGTCAACTTGCGTGAAACTCTATATGTGCGGACGACGGGTAACGACCGCTTCAGCTGCGTATTGATTGCAGACTGATTTCATACTTCTAACTAACGAACTGAACGACATCGGCGGGCAACATGATAACCTCCGAAGATGAGCCATTCACGGACCCAAAATGGTCACATTGCTCTCAGCTAACAAATGCGTGGGTCAATAGCCGTTCAGGACACCTGTGCAGGTTGTGATAATGCACTCCTCTGGAGTCGCTTCGCTCTTCGTAGTTCAGGGCCGCGTAAGGGACAGATAATACACAGCAAATGATAGGCACACTGATCCCGAAATGAAACGAATATGTTAGAACCGTTTCCTGGGCTATTTTACAACTGTTACACCGCCGGATGCTAACCTGTCCTGGCACGAGGTCGCTACATCCTTGCACAATTCCAGGAGTACCGCATCCGGCACGACGCATCACGACACCGCCAGCTCAACCCGAGCACTGGATATCAGACAGAACATGCGCTACTCGAATATCGAAATGTTTCCGCCGGTTCCGAACATAATCAAACCAGGTAGACCTCCGTGCGACCGATCCGGTGAGCGATCTTAGCGCGACCCCATTTGATAAAGGATGTCTTGACCGCTGGGTCAAGCACCTTGAACAAAAATCTTTGTGGCCACACTCTGTCCCTCAGTCAATGTTTCGATCTGTACCCTGGAGGATGGACCCGGAACCGCCTTAGCCTCGGAGGTGTACGACTGCGTATCATCGCTCAAATGATATCGAGCTCCTAGTCTAGATCACCTCCCCTAGCATTGCACAGGAACGGAGGTGAAGTCTTCGATCAGTACTTGTCTAATCTATTTGCCTCCATTTCAGAAGAGAATAAAGGATACTAAAGAGATCCAGTAGTACTGTTCGTTTTCAAAAATGAGGCACGGTGAATGTGGTAATCACTGAGGGGTCAGTTTGACCCCAGTCGAAACAAGATTATTGGCGTCACTTGTCCTTCATCATCATATACGGTGATTTGTGAACCACTAACTTGAGAGCAGCTACGGGTCGGGTGCTAGGAAAACGCCGTAAGCAATTCACAATTTTGGTATCCCTGCATCTGACTGCTAACCGATTTGACCAGCAAAGAATACCTCGGTGTTTGTCGGTAGAATATGTTCTTCATATTCTCTCAGGTTTCCGGGCGTGTGAGAGTAATCGGAGGGTTTCTGTACAGAAAGTAGCCCCCCTCTTTCCATTCCTAAGCAACTTCATCGTCGGAGTTCGAGGCCAACTACGCTATTCGAAGTGATCGTCTATGACTACCATCGTACAAACCTGACTGATTTTCGACCAACTCCTGTTAGTCATGTGTGGATGTATTGCATACGCGTGTGGATTATGCGAGCCACTGAGGGTCACCGGTAGTGGTCGACCACACACGGCTTTGAACCATCTGTTGAGTATAGTGATAGATTTGGTAGTTTCCCTTCTTAATTACCGCCTAATTATACTCCTTCAGGTGTGAAACGGTAAGTGGCGTTACGCTGGTTGTACATGCGAAACAAAGCAAATCACGGACCCATTCTTCTCCAAGAGAACGCTGCCGTAAGATAGCACCGATTCAGTGACACTGCTACCTACCTGCAACACGTTCCAGTATATGAGGAGTTGGTACACACATTCGCAGCTGTAGATCGGCTATTACCGGTGCCTATAGGGAGCAATTCAGTCCATAAACAGCAGAACGCTGGTAGCGTCTCCATGAAGAGTGTTGAAAAATTTGAATATGTAGTAGGATTAGGGAAATGTACGTTTTGTGTTTTTATTAGATTCCATGGTTCAGTTTCAAGAAAGCTTGCTTGGCACACAAAAGGCACTGCAGATTTCGTCACCATGCTATGTTTGCGGAGGTTAAATTGGGCTCCCTCAAAAGCGACCCGCAGGTTTAACATCCTCCATTAACTGACAAAAAACACGCTGAAAACCTGCTTTATCAGGTGTGATGGGACCAAACTGTGTAGGCGATGGGCGATAGTAAATGCGCTGGTTACTCTAAAGTTGCGAACCAAATTTAGCTTTAATAGTAACGGGTAGAACGCCAACGGTTGTGAAGGTGTATCCCAAGGGGATACCGCTAGTATTGCGACTAAACGGATACCATCATGATCATCATCAAGGACAGCAACATCAATGTCGGCACACTGCCATACACCCACAAGGTTCTATTTAGACCCGATTTTGGCCGGTGAAGTCAGCTCGACAATATTGTCCCAGGACCACTGACACTGATTAGCCGCCATCAACCGGACATTGTGTGTGCGTACATCTATCGGGGAGAGTAGCCTAATGGTCACCAAATGAAAAGATGCAGCGTGAGAAAAGCTAAGGAAAGTATCGCAAGACTCACTTTGCTAAGATGAGTAACTGCAGTTACTGGAGAAATATCCAAACAATTCAGATACGGTGACTGGAAAGTGGGCCAGTTTGGTTGTTGGAGGTCTATCACAACCAACTCGCGTTCGGTCATGACTAGCAGGGCTATAGCATTTTGTGGAGCGCAAGGAGCGGAAATCGGTGCTTCGGTGACCGGCGGTACCTCATCTGGAAACCAGAGGAGACAAGGAACATTCAGCAACGGCAAAAGACACGAAAAGACAGTTTTAAGCATAACTCATTTATTTCAAACGTGATAGCTATGAGCACACTAAAATAGAACCTAATGATAGCGATGGACCGTAGTACCAGGCAACCTGACGATTTTCGTGCCACAGTGGATTACTGAAAACCGATGTCAGTGGCGTTCTTTTTGTCAGTTTCTGTCCAGATTGCCTGAGTGAATGTCTGGAGGTGTAGGCACCTCGGAATGATTGTGTTAAGCTAGCACTAAGTCCCTCCCCCATCCACCTTTATTCTTTTCTTCACAATAAGGCTTTCAAATAAGTCATGGTTGTACGGCAGTGAAGCATCGGTGTTGAACACTGATGTCATGCTGTCGATGATGATGATGATGATGGATTACTGGAAGCAAAATTCCGATGACTAATATGCGACCATACAGTTATAAAAACGTTATTTGAGCTCTATGACCGTAGAACGATGCAGCATGCAACACATGGGCGGGATCGCATTACAATCTTGTCTGTGTGGGTACAACAGTTTTCCATCCCAGAGCGTGACATCAGAGATTACTCTTATCGCTGCGGGGCTTGTGTTGAGAAGAACAGCTCGCAAAACACACGGATCAGTCGACCATCAGCAGTCTGTTTGGCGGCAAAACCTTAGGTCACAGATCACCTAAGGGTGAGTTATCAACACCCATGCAAAAAGGGCCATTGTTAACTTCCACTAAAGAGTGTATGGTCCGGAAAGTGAATGCTCGGCTCCCCGTGGAGGGTCACACAGGCAGACCTTCTAATCAAACGCCAGAGGATTCACAAACACCATATCTACCATTTGGGGACGATGAAGTCGACTAATCCGGACAGATGCAGAAGAAACAATAAAGAAATTGGAGCTAGCTGAGCAAGACAAGGAAAATGACAAGGCTTACCACTCTTTACGGATTTTTGTGGTATGAACAGGAAGTCTTTCACTGGAGATCCGAACTGGAAGCACACGTGGTGTTCTGGATCTTGCAGAACGGAGACTGCATGGCGATCGTTGAACTCAGCTCGGGGCAAACCACCGGAGAAGGCAGTTATCACACCACCGCTGTACGGAGAAGAAAAAACAGGTCTCAACTCAGCCCAACAAAGAGGACTTATGATCAGAAATGAGCAGAGAGAAACCACAATCCGTTGAACCATATCTCTGCAAGGAAATATA